GGGGGGGGGGTTGCAGCTATGTAAGCGAGGGAAACAGGCCGCTGTCGAACGCCTGTTAAATAAATTTGATGGAGGAGAACATGACAGGTTCCTTCCGGTGTGAGCCTACGGCATGGATGCGCAAAGGATAACCATGGGGAGGAAGGGCATGCGTAATAAGAAGAAAGGTAGATCAACGCTAGGCTCACATAAAATGAACACCGAAAAATCACTCGGCAGCGAGTGTTACGGCAATATGCGTACTGGGTCTCACATCCCCTAGGCCGAACGCTTCCCTTGTCGAGTTTCTGATGCTGAAGCAAGAAGAGCCCGTGAACCCTTTGCTCAGCTTCACCTGTTTCAAGCGAGTGCACACGAGTTTGTCCGAGACATTTCAGTCGGAAAAAGAGGGGGTCGACGAGAGCTTGAGATTCTCCAATCGCACGGAAGCAATGAAGAACCTGGGTGGCAGTATGTGGCTCCGCAACGGGAAGACAGTCGCCTCGATGACGGACACATGAAAATCCCGGATGCCTGTTCGCTACGCCTATGCCTCTTCGTTACGACTCGTCGCGCAAGACGGACATCGCGCCGTCACACTTCTCCCGGGAAGAGCGGACGGCTGCAGTTGATCGTCGTGCCCGTGCCCCCAGCGTGCAAACAGAGAGACGCTTACAATAGCGCCAAGTCGGTCAAATTCAAGCTCGCTCATGTTCCTCATGAGCGCCCTCCCCGAGCCCTTGGGGGTGTACAATAGGTGCAGCGTTCACGCCTGTGTGCTAGTCAAGCCCCACATCTCCTCGGTACCTTCTGTTGTCTAAACAAAACACCAAACACCTTGTAGAGCAACGCATGAATCGAGCCTCAATCTTCAAGGCGCCGATCGCTTTCTTTCGACAACCGCTCTTCGTATGTATAGCATGACGCATCACCTGCAGCACCACGCGGCGTTCGCGGGGTGGGTCCCCGGCCGGCTTGTTGTACGCCCAAACCTCCACGTAGCCGCCATCGGGCAATTCTGGGAGTAGAGTCTCGTTTACCAACAGCTCCGCATCGTCTTGGATGTTTTCATGGAACATGAAGGACCTGTAGCCCGACCGACAACGACAGCCGGTTGTAAGCCAGCGAGCAAGCGAACACGAGAGCGGACAAGGGAAGCGCGAAGGAGCGAGCCAGGGCAGGTCATAGAGAGATGTTTCTCAAAGCACAACGAGAGCAAAAATACTCCGACCTACTGGCAAGCAAGTTGAAGAGTGCGTGCGTGTTGTTATCGTCCAATCTATAATGGCGCCAATCTACACCGCCGGTATATACTTGGCGTACTGGCCGGGGCCACGCAGGAGGAAGAGAGTACTGTAGGGGAACTTTTTGCATGCCACACGCTTCCTCCTGCAGTTTGTTGTTTGTTTTTCTCCCATCATTGGACTCTGTCGTCTGCCCCTCTGGCCCCTATCCTCCATTTCTACTAGCTAGACGACCCACCCGGGGTCACATAGGAGAGGGGGGTTGGACCCCTCCTGCGGTTTATGCCTGAGGTATTTTTATCGCGACAAGGGTACAGCAATCCCTTCCCTCGCGACTTACGAAGTCGATTATGGTTTACTAACAAACGAGCTTTGCAGCGCGTCGCTTTCATCCTAGACCAGGATTTATTTAGTGAGAAAAAAACTCTCTCTGCCGGGACTCGAACCCATGACCTGGCCCTTAGCAGGCTGCGAGGCTACCCACTAGACCACCGGGGCGACCGGTAGCGCAGTGCTTGCCTGTGAATATTCCGGAACTTCCTCGTTTTCCGCCGCAGAGAAATGCGAAATTGCTCACATGTTCAACCGTAACCCGCACCGTTCTGCGGAACCCGGCTCATATAGATAAGGTGTTATCCGCTTTCGTATGCCCATGTATTAGAGTGCAGCACTCGCAAATCCAGCAGCAGTCGCTGCGGCTGAGTATACTGCTGAAGGTTCTGTCGTGCATTTTCATAATAAGGCTCAGGAAGTTGTCCGTGTACAGCGGTATACATATGGTCCCTTTATAACAACACCCTCCAGTGGTCAGAGATCATCCATCTACGTTTGCGCTCCCAGGAGAGAACCAACAATTTGTATCTAGGTATCCTTGTAGCGTACGAGGTCAGCCACTAGACTACGATGAAGACACCTGGCGACAGGTTATTGTAACGTGATTCCACAGGTAGAAGTACCTTGTTAGGTGGAGACGTCTAATGTTTTTCTGGTGAGTACACTGCAGCTCATCCACCCATCGTGCCCATGTTGCTGTATTTGGGTCCAACCAAAACACAAACATTTCTCCTGCAAACCCTCTCCACGAAGTCACTCATACCTTGGACAACACGGGGAACAAGCACAGCCGTGCCTCTTGTTTGCTACTCTTGGATCCGTTCAGATGCGGCGGGATTTTTTTGACATGGATCATGCCGTTGTTTCGGTGCAGTACACACATGATAGCCCTGCAAACGCTTCGAACATACAGTTGATTGACAGAGCCAAGGTCACCACACCAATCGCAATTCTCACGTGAACTCCTTCCTTTCCAAGCCCTTCTTCCTCCCTGCCGTCTCCTTCCCTGCTGCTCGAGATTGCGTCGGAGAAGCGATCGCCGCGTTGCTATTGCGCGAATGCCGGTCATGATATCGTTGAAATCCTGCCATTGTTGTGCATATAGCGGTGTATCGACGTATCGACACTCCGTAGCTAGGTCATGCAGCTGAAACTCTCCCTCGTCGTACATGCGCTGCTGGGTCTCCCTCCCCGTGCCTCTATCACTGCTGTACTTTCGACCCACAGGCAGGACTCCACACAACGCGTTCGGCCCCTCTACAGCAGTCTTGCCTGCACGGAGCCCCTCATGTTATTTTTTTTTGTTCTTGCAATTTGTTCTTCTAGTCCTTTCATGGTCCTTTGCATTTATTCCCTCAAGAAGAACGAGTGCCAGTGTTGCACAGCAGCGGTAGCCAGGGCGTGCTTTGTACACAAGGGCGACAGGTTTCAGCTAAACCGCTCGTCCACTGTGCCTGAAAGTCTAGCTTGCAATCAGGTGTGAGGGATGAACGGGTGTTTGGAGTTCCTCCGCGACAGCGGCAGCAGGCCCTCCGGATGTAGTCTGGGTGGTCTCGCCCAGGTGTAGCATTCGTTGTGATCGCGTAGCTGCCATTTAGCACGTGGCGCGCACTGGACGAAAATGCGGGACAGCAGTACGCGTAGTTCCACCCCAGAAAATTCGCCGCGTGGCCTTACAAGCTGGTTTTGGATGCAATCTTTCCCTTTCCCTTTCATTTTTCCGCCTACCGAATACACTGTACTTGCAGCAACTGCTGTGTCAACCATCTGGTCCTCAAGGGTGACGTTGGTCCTGCGTACCCTACCCGATCTACTAACGCTCTCAAGCAAAAGCCAGGAGCCTACCGCCGCATCCAGATCTCCGGTGTACTTCTCTAAGGGCAACTTCATCTTGCGCGTACTCTTGTCTAGCTCCAGCTGTACACAGTAGTCGTACAGGTGGCGAGTGTCCTGCTGAGATTGCTGAATGATCAACCCTCCAGACCACCGAATCCCCAACCTAACGAGCACGCCACGTCGCAAAAGCAATCTGTCAAGAGCAACGGGTTCAACTTCTTGAATGCGAAAGCCTGTCGGGATCTCCATTCCTTGTGTCTCGTCCTCCGGGTCTTGTGGGTCCATGCTGTCGTCGTCGTCGAGAAGAGCTAGCTCATCGGTCTGGGTTTGAGACGTGCCTGCGAACGGGGCACCGTGAAACACCACAAGAAGTACGGTGTCACGGCCGAAACTCAACATGAACCCATCATATTTGCTCGTAGTCGTGAACGTGGAAACAGCACATCAGCAAAATCCAAACAAATATCAACGGACATCGTCATCAACGAGGAAATGACAAAGATTGGGTCTAGTGCAAATCAAACTTCCCGCCGTCGTCTTCATCGCTGGAATCAGCGCCCTCCACGACCGTCTCACGTCCATCGCCCTCCTTCCCCCGCCCCTCAGGCTCATCGTTGCCGTTCTCCAAACCTGCTTCGTCCTCGCTACAGTCTTCATCGTTTGCGAAGGTGTACGGCTTGTCCAAACCCTCCAAGGTGATCCGATCATCGCCTGAGCCGTCCACAGTCATGGCCATCCCGCACTTTTCGAAAAGGCGGAATCGGAACGCNCGCGGTTTCCCACCTCTCGAGGTTGTCCGACTGCTCGAGCCACATGTCCATCTGCCTCCCAGCTTCCACCTTGATAAATCGTCCGGCTCCTGCATCAACTGGCTGCACCTCGTCCGTGCATTCCGAAGGGCCATTCCAGGCGAGAGTGTTGCACTCCTTCGCAAGATACTCCTTGAACTCGTCCGTCCGTCGTGTGCGCGTGCAAGATATCCATGATAAGAATGGACCTCGCCTTGGGAAGCTCACCCCGCCCGCGCATNGGGCCATTCCAGGCGAGAGTGTTGCACTCCTTCGCAAGATACTCCTTGAACTCGTCCGTCCGTCGTGTGCGCGTGCAAGATATCCATGATAAGAATGGACCTCGCCTTGGGAAGCTCACCCCGCCCGCGCATCAGGCCTTCGCGGTAGGACCCCTTAGCCCACTCCATACAGAACTTTTGGTCGGCCCAAGCAATCTCCTGGAAAAACACGTCCACGTCCTTGTGTTACGCGGCCTTCTCCACCGGCGAGATCCGCTTCCCCGTGCCTCGGAAAATCACCGAAATTCGCAAGGTCTTCTCACCCGGACCAAAGGTGACTTGCATGGTGCACTGCCTTTCCTCTAGGCCAGGAAAGGGCTGTGAGATGGCGACACGCTTCGCACCTTGCTCCTCCCACGTATCGAGCAGCCCGTTTACGAATGCCAAAGGCACTTGATCCACATTCCAACGCTCCCAAAGCTGGAATTGGCCATACTTGGGAACTCTGGACTCCCTCTCTGCGACCGTCGTAATCGCCGATACGTCCGACTCATCGGGCGCCCTGTACCGTACCGGCTCTTGCAGGAGCTTGCGAAACAGTCGGTGGAAGCGCTGGATCTTGGGTAGGCGCTCCTCAACAGACTTGTTCTTGAGGTTGGTCCGACGTCTTTTGGACAGGTTGTGCCTCTTGGCCCATTTTCGTGCCCACCTGAAGGATGCGCGGAACGCCGCCGCCCGTTGGTCCCCGGGATACATGTCTCGCACGAGCTTCCGGAACGTGGTCGTCAGCCACACGGTCGATACCTTCAGCTTCCTCTTACGCCGCTCCACGGACATCTTGTAAAGCCTCGTTTCTGCCTCAGGAAACCACCGCTTAGGCTGCTGCTTGGCGAGGAGGCTCTTCTTCACGTCGTCTGCTGCCGCCGCGACTATGGCCTTCTCGTCCTTGGCCCACTTCACGATGTTGCTGTAGTGAACCCTGAGACGATCCTCTAAGTACTGAAGAGGCGTGCGCTCCTCCTCCTTCCACAGGTTCGCGGCGTTGTCCTCGAGGATGCGCAGCTGGTTGACAGCATTGGCTTTGAACCTATTGTCGTATCGCCTGCGCTTGGGAGCTCCACGAGTTTCCTTGGTTTCGCGGTCCATAAAGCCGTCGCTTTCCAAGTCTAGATCGAGAAAGCGCTTCCGCTGGAGGACAAACGAAGCCGCCCCCGTCGCATCATCGACCTTTACGTGCCAGCAACGCCCAGGCCCGGCCTCTCCCCACGGCAGGACACGCCCTTCGAGATTCTTCCGTAGCATCCGCCGCAGCCGCACGCCGTTGGACATGTTGGCACTGCTGTGCTGCGTTCTCACGTAGATCCCAAGGCCTTGCTCGTTCACGAAGGTAATGGGACAGTGAGGGCAGGATCGGCGGGACTCCCGGGCCGGAGGCGGGAAGCTCATACCGGATGCGAACTCTTTCACTCCACCACAAGTCCGCTCAATCTGCTCGGTGCGATGGGAAAGGGCGGAATTGCCGTGTAGGGGATTCAACGAGCCATGTGACGTGTCAGTCGCTCTTAGTTGTGGCGCTGTTTTAATCAAACTTCCGTGGATGCCGCTGGCAAAATATCTAGTCTATGCACTCTGAACGAATACTTCCTTGAAAAGATTATCGTGAATCACACGAGAGAGTGGGGAGATGACGTATGTTTCGTTTGGGTCACATTAGACTAATAAGCTTACCTATTTTGGTTTCATTTTTTCTCTTGCTTAGTCTAGACTATCGGGAATTTAAAAACAAAAACAAAAATACACCCGTGTAGCAAAACAAAGCAACAGCGTGCGTCGGATACATATGTAACCGAACTCACCGGTTTTCCGCTGCCAATCGAGAACGCGTTGCAGATGTTTCCGCCTAAAGTGCCTTTCGCAGCTCTCTCCCTGGCGTGCTTCCCTCGATCCACCTTCCTCCTCGCGGTACCCGCTGCAGCAGCAGGTGGGTGCTGAGAAGGTGCAGCAGCACCTCGTTCGCTGCTGGCATCTTGTTGGGATGACAAGGACAGGCGGGTGCTGCTGGTAATGCCCTGGATTTCACCATCAATCTGCGCGATCCACTCTCCTTCGTCGAAGATACCGTTCTGCTTCAACCCCCACGCGCTCTCGATGGCGTCGCACCGCTCCATCGCAACAGAGTTTCCCGCTTTCACATGTGGCTTATCGTCTCGAAGTAACGGTCAAGAATCAGACCCCGTCCTTTCATTTCTGCAAGTTTGCCAAGATCTTCCAACAACCCATGGGATAAGGGATTGGACAGGGATATGACCCCCCTGTACGGCAGGCAACCCGTGGCCCGCTGCACGTGCGTGGCCTGGCAGCCGCCAAGGGGGCGCGACGTGTACAGTGCCCACCCTCCCCTCTGCAAAAATTGCAGATTCCGAGGTGTATGTATGCACCCCCCACCTTCGGCACACCTACCCCCCTGCCAAATTCAATACTTGGATCACCCCCCCGCCCGTCCCCCCCTCCCCGTTCGAATGTTCTTATCTCGCAGCTGCTGAATGCGCTGTTGTTCTTATCTTTAGCAGCAGTGGTACACCTCAGGCGTGCGTTCTTATTCTTAACTGCAGGTGCAATCTGAGCACGTGTTCTTACCGGCAAATTCTTAATTTTTGTTTTTTTTAGCACCATATTCGTAAGTGCCATATTCTTAAGTGCGGGCCTCAACTGTACTTCCTCTGGTCCGGATTAGGGAGGCGCATTTTGAAAAACCACAATATAGGCACATTTCCAGTAGGGTACCCTAAATGGTTGTTCAGCCCCAATTACCACCCCGTGGTGCTCTGTATATGGGCCGTTTTTTACATTCCGAATTTTTGGTCCAAAATTTCCAAATATTTGGCGCCAAATATTTGGAACCGAAAGGCTCATTTTATACGTGCTGCAGCTGGTCTTCCAAATTTTCAAAATTATCTCGCCGCTTGCCTGGTGCCAACAAGCACAACACAAACACACTGAGACTGACGTCTTTTCGTTGGTCAGCCGGTTAGCGCGGTCGATGCTAACAATAAACGCACACACACACACAACACCTCCGCAACCAAGACACCATGGCAGACAGCACAAAGGGACGGGCTACTGGTCGCCGGGTGGCTGCTACCCCAGCCAGATACAGAGAGGAGGGCCATCTCGGCGCTGCTGCCGGCGAGGGTTCGAGCTCGCGCGGAATACTCCCAGGCATTCTGACGTTTCGTCGGCGCTACATACCCCTGATCCATCCCCCCCTCCGGCGAGGGCCGCCACAGGGGCTGGGTCATCAGGTCCTCCGAAGATGGCGGAAACCCTGCTTGATATCATGAGGGACGAGGAGGTCGGCGGCATTGGTGCCGGCGGCGATGATGGTACCGGTGGCGACAGCAGTAGTGACGACTCCTGCGACACAGAACACCCTTCCAGCAACAACGGCGCGGCAACCGGAAGCTCAGCGCGCACGGCGCTTGATGTACCGGTACTTCCTGTTGTGATGGGCAAGGGTAACACGGCGTCGAGGGCGAAATCTCCATCCCCAACGCCGCAGCAGTCGGTGGCGTCCTCCGCGACCCAGAGGTCCCTCAAACGCAACCAGAACAAGCCGTACTCAACGTGGCCTGTCAGCCTCCTACAGATCGCTATCCAGGCGCGAGGTATCTCCGGCCTTTCGAGGGAGAGGAGCAGCTTAGTGTTGGGGAAGGCCCTAGCCGATGTCGACAAGGTGTGTGGGCGCCCAAGCCCCAACTACGCGGATCTCGAGGATAAAGCAACTGGTGGGACCCTTCTGTGCGTTAGACTTTCCCCACTCTCATCCCAGTGTTCATCTACTTATACAATTTCTCTTCCTCTCCCGCGCTCTCTCACACACACCATGAAGGAGCATGTGTAGGTGTTAGACTTCGCGCTATTTTGGTGCATGTCCCTACGGCTGCATCAGCACCAATGCCATGTGCACGAAAGCTCCAAGCCTAACCGCTTTTCTTCATGACACCTCACTGCTCCACCCATGGTTGTCAACCTGCGTGCTTCCAGGTGAGACCCCGGCCTCCAAGCCCCTAACGGCGTCACCAGAGACCGTCGAGGTTCCGGAGGCCTTGGTTATGGCTGTGCGTAGCGCCATTCGCAGTGGGGCGAGCATTAACCCGAAGAAAATGATGGACTGGGAAGAGAATGCCTACCTCGCCAGTCGCGTTTTGGAGGTGATAGCGGATGAAGACCGCGCGTCAGGGGCCGGCGTCACCACCGCCGGCCGAAGGAAGAGNAGCCCCTAACGGCGTCACCAGAGACCGTCGAGGTTCCGGAGGACCTGGTTTTGGCTGTGCGTAGCGCCATTCGCAGTGGGGTGAGCATTGACCCGAAGAAAATGATGGACTGGGAAGAGAATGCCTACCTCGCCAGTGGCGTTTTGGAGGTGATGGCGGATGAAGACAGCGCGTCAGGGGCCGGTGTCACCACCGCCGACCGAAGGAAGAGCAAGCATTGCGTCCCCCGGGCGGTGGAGCTGATGGTCGCCGAGCGCTTCAGGGAGCGCCTTGCCGCGAGCAGGACGCAGTTGTCTAGGACGGAGCTCGACAATAAGGAGACGGGCAGCAAGCGGTCGGTATACTTTGAGCTATGGAAGGACTTCAAGGACACGGACGTGGAGGTGAGGTCTGAATGCATACCGTTTTCTGTTGACCCCCAGGAACGCATTTTGTTGAGGTTACGTTCAAGTGTAGTTCGNATATGCTTTGAGCTATGGAAGGACTTCAAGGACACGGACGTGGAGGTGAGGTCTGAATGCATACCGTTTCCGTTAGCCCGCAGGAACGTATTTTGTTGAGGTTATGTTCAAGTCTAGTTCGTATGCTCACAGCAATCTAGCACCCAGGGTCAGGGGCTTGAATCCCGTCGAGAGGGGGATTTCATTGCGAAGTGAGTTTCATTTCGCGCCCGTCCTGGCGCTAGTTAGTGCGCACTCTTCTCGCATTTTTGTCGAAGGCAAGGACCGCAGGAGGGTGGGTAGGAGCTTTAGGGGAAGGAACCCTTTTGTGTGACAACGGGTTGTTGACGTCCTACCCAGCAGCAAGAATGTGTGCCAGCGCTCATTTTATGGTATTGGAAAAAAATCGATGCGCTTCGTCAAATTCCATCGACCTGTTGTCCCCCCCCCAAAAAAATATATAAAGTACAAAACAACAACGCCCTTTTGCCTTGTTGCAAGTGGTCACACACCTCAACGACGACGAGCACATCACCGCGGCACAGATCGACCCGAACACAGTCCATCAGCCCGACATTTCGTACGACAAGTTCATGAACATGGCGAAAGAGATTAACAAGGACTATGGCGACTGCCACCACAACATGAAGAAGTCTGGGAGTCACGACGAATGGTACTCCTTCTGCCTTAGTAAGGTCTGCTTTTTTTTTCGTGTATGGCCCTTGTACAATAGGTGGTACAGATAACGGCACGTGTCGGGGGGGTACTCCTAGAGAAAAGACAGTGGTTGGTCCACGCGTCGTGTTGAAGTGTAGTTGAAAGATATTTCTGTAGCGTGCACCGTACTATGCTTGGGACGATGCTGGAACAACAGGCCGGATTATACAAATAACGTCGATCAAACATTCCTCAACCACGGCACACTTCAATCAATCACAAGCAAGGGACTTGCCTTGTACCAACAGGTGTTGTGTTACTGCGATAATAAGCACCGGTCATGGTCATTCGAAACTTGGTTCGAGAAATGAGTACTGTTCGGGCTCTTCGCCCTTGTTAGTTTTGGGTCATGTAATGTCCAAGTGTTCCTCTGTTGGTCGTGAACGCCCGACAAAGTACAGCCCCCCTTCCCCCCCCCGTCCTACGGTGGTTCCCCCATTCACAAAGGATTTCAGTAATATGCCTTTGAAAAACCCGATTTTTCTTCATGCTGGCGATGCATCGATAACACCAGTACGTTCCTCCCACAAATACGTGTGCGCTCTAAATGACATCAGCGGGTAGTACGTTTCCGCTTGCAGGTTCCAGCACGACGATATACTTTCGTGGTGACGTCCACTTCCGCTCAATGTCACATTATTGCCGTCTAGCGATCGCACCTCCCGCCCCCCCCTCGACTCGCCCTGTTCGATACACCCTGAACGTCAAAATATCAGAAAACCTGAATACCTACTACTTTGGACAGGTCATGGCCAAGTACCCGCAGATCCTCGCCGTGTGTGACCGGCTCCTGCCCGAAGACGTGCAACGGGAGAGCAGCGGCGTGGGGGGGGCGGCCGCCGGCCCTACAGGCGCCAAGGGAGCCGCTGCTGACGCGAAGAGGAGAGAGGACTCCAAACGCAGAGCGAAGGAGGACAACGCCCACCTCAACGTCAAGAAAAAGCCGTCTAAGAACGCCGTCAGCGTGCAAGAGACGGCCGCGGCTGCCATGCACTCGGTGGCGTCGGGACTTNGAGCACCTTCCTCGCGGGACATCGTAGATGAAAATACCGCAAAATTGGCGTTTTTCGACACCTTGTTCAAATCTTTCCAAGCCGCNCAGGGAGGACAACGCCCACCTCAAGGCCAAGAAAAGCAGTCTAAGAACGCCGTCAGCGTGCAAGATACGGCCGCGGTTGCCATGCACTCAGTGGCGTCTGGCCTTGGACTGCCCCCCGGCGGATTAAGCGAGCTATTTCGGCCAGCGTCCGAACCCGCCCCCGCCGCAGCACCTTCCTCGCGGG